TAGGTCAAACTGGTTTGTTCGACTTTCAAGAAATTCGAGTTCTAGTGAGTTTGAGAACCAAGGTAATGTTAACTAACTCGTAAAAGCAGTGCATGTCATGGTCTGGGATGTATTAGATAGTAAGCAAACATGCAGGTGCTCAGAAATATTTAAAACATGTTTACTTCCGATACAGACATTGTAGCTGTTTATCATTTCTGTTCAACAGTTTTTGCTGATGTTGATAGACAGTCCTCTAAATCATGCAGGTTACTATGGGTTTAAAGAGTAAAGATCAGAGTGACTTTGACGAGGGCCAAATCATTATGCTCAGGCGACTGGGTCAGAGCATCTCAAAGATGGCGTGGCTTGTGGGGTGCTCACGGTCAGCTGTGGTATGTACCTACTGTGACATCCTTTTAGAGGAGGGAAGAACCACAAACTGTTGATAGGGTGTTGCTTGGACTTCTTGGTCCAACGCATCCCACAGAGGCTTGACAATGAAAACGAGATTCACTAGGCAACCTTCTCTCATTGCTCCAAGGTCCAGGTCCAACACTTGTGTGCCCATTGTAGGTGCTTTCTGTGGTGGGAAGGGGTCAGCATTCTTAATTTAGAATGAGAGATATATTACACATTTTTTTCTAAACGTGTGTGTGTGTGTGTAGTTACAGTGCATAGTGGGCTGCTTTGAATGGCCATAACCTACAGTAGGGCTGGGCGGTATGACCTCAAATCAATGTCACGATTAACTGAACATTTTACCTTGATTATGATTAATCAATGTTTTTTTTGTTTTTTTACCCTTACGTTTTACTGACAAGGTTTGTACTGTAAATATGCTCAACTATTAAAGCTGGAATATTTTTTCTAATGATTTTAAAATAATTGAAGGAAACACACAGATGAACCATTCATGGTTATTTATTGAATATTTCGAACAACTGAAATCAAAGCACAAATCGCTTGCAATGAAAACGTTTTATGAAAAAGGTAACATTTTAGTTTTAATGTGAAAAGCAAGTTCCCTAAAAAAGTAGAAAAACAATTAGCATTTCTTGTAAACCTAATAAATTACATTGGAAACCGTTTATAGTGATCATGTCTGTTTGGGTGAAATTGATCACTATAAGCAGATCATCATTATAACCGATTTTTATCTTTTTCTTTGTCTCAGTCAAATGACAGTCTAACTGACATTTGTATATTTATTACATGAATGTAAGGTAATGTCGCCTATGGCTTACTCACTGGGGGCTTTGGGTGGGGATGCTTTAAAGCGCTTTGGGACAATGTAATGTTGTGATAATGCGCTATACAAAAATAAATTTGTTGTTGTTGTAATAAAATGGACAGCATCACTATTTCCAGAATTTTATTGACTCTTTCAAAATACAGTACAGCTGTTTCAAACGCTTTTCAAATTACTGTACTGTACAAATTACTGAACTGTGTATAATTCAAATATGCTTTAATGCAGTACTGTACATAAAATATACCTTTTTGTAGTTTCGCTGCTGCATCCCGCTGGCTCGTTTTTGGCAGTTTATCCTAAATTTTGATGAGTATGTTTTCTATATTAATCAGTCTATGGCATTTTTATGTGTATTGGTTATTATCATATGCAGTATTTAGGTTTTGTTAATTATAGAATCCAAATATTTCCACTATAGAATTGGATGAAACTTTGTGTTTGTGTGACTCCTTGCCAGATATAGAAGAACATTCTAAAGTTGGAATGAGAGACACATTATGCTTTATTAGAAAGATTTGAGCAAATTAATTTATAACCATAAAACCCTTAGTATTCACGTACCTGCAAACAATGTGTGGATGGCTTGACTGTACTTTTTTAGTGGAGGCCCCTGGACCTAAGCCAACACTGATATAAACACAAGTCAAGCTTTTACTGAATTTTTTATAGTGGTGTATTCAAGTGACAACTGTGATCAATACTGATAACAGGTATATTTTCCGTAAGATCGCTGACACCGATAACTGGGTAACAATTCTGAGCCACTTGCTGAGTGGGGGGAACTGAGTGTGACACTTGCCTAGCTTGGAGGCGCAGATTAACAGAATAACGTTATGTCATATTTTTTTCTTTGGGAAATAAACAATTAATCTGCCAGCAAGATTTAATAATGCATTATAAACATGTGTGCCCATACTTGAGACATCTTCTAAGTAAGTTGACACTCTGGACCAACTGAAACTTGCCAACAGAGATTTGGAGCTGAAGCCAATCAGGAGGAAGTTGTGGTCGTCAAGGTGACTGGAAATGTAGGCATGGAGGAGGAATTGAGCAGCAGGATGGCAGGGTCTGATGCAGCTGATGTTACACAGATGGATGAAACATGGCTGTCTAATGAGACAAGGAAAGAGGGATGAATTGATGAGCCATGGCTGAGGAATGGGAAGACTCCTTAATGGCTTCAAGTTTTCTTGCACTTAGCATGATGCTCAACAGAATCTGGCCTAGGGTGCTGCAGCACTTAGGGCCGGCTCTGCATGTGGCAATAAAATCTGATACTTTGGCATATTTGCTACTTTCAACAGTGTAATGTGTTGTGCTGTGCATAAAACCAAAAGTACTATTTTGCACATATAGCTGATATCTGTTAGGAAGTAATCGTGGCATTGTGGTGACATGATTGCCTTTTATTCTCCTGGGTAACATTAGCTTCTCATTGTTTTCTTCCAGGTGAACGTGGATTATACAGAAAAAACGGTCTCTATCAGTAACTACCCCCTGTCTGCAGCTTTGACATGTGCCAAGGTGTGTTCTGCGTATGAGGAAGTTTGGGGTGTTTTATGACCTGGAAAAGTTTAAAGTGTCTTCTGTCTGAATCTGTTGTTGGATTCAATAAAGTCTTTCATCCCTGTAACCGGACCTAGGGTTCAGTGTATGTGTGGTTGTTGAGAAAATAAATTCTCAGTTCTAACCACCTTTAACTGTCCTTAGCAGAGAGAGAATGGGTCTGTGGTCTGTTGTAATCTATGTAGTCAATACATACGTGCTTTTATGTATAGAAAAGGAATTTCATTGGAAACATTCATTTGTTACAAGGAATCTGTTCCAGAATGTGTAATTTTACAGATTTTTCAATGTCAGAACAAATAAACAGGCATTTACACTTGTTTATGTTTTATTTTAAGAAGTGCACTACACTTGTGAATTGTTTGCATTTTCTGTAAATTTATATGAGCATAATGGAGCCGCCCAGCCTTTCAGACACTACTGTACAGTAAATCATCTCCTGCTTGGCCCCACCGCTCCTGGCTGTCTTCCCTGTCAGCTTTGACTTCCCTGCATTCTTCAGCGCAGATCTCTGCCACACAATTTATCAAAACTGTCAGCAGACTCAGAGAAGCTATGAACCATATTGCTTTCACACATAATGTTGATGCCTTATCCCCAAAGGATCCACATGCACCAGCTTCTTTAACCTGCACCAAAGATTTCTTTCTGATAAGACTTTTTGTGGCAGGTTCACTTGGTTATTTTTGTCGACATCATCAAAGCTGCATGTACACAGTTCTTGCTTCAGGTGGGCCTTGACACCCCATCACGGTTCTTATCCTCTGACTCAATTTGCAGGACGAGTCAATGTACTTCACTACTGCTTTTCTTACTCGCATCACTGATTTTAGCTACAGTTACTGCGATGTGCTTGAAAAGGCGCAATGGGGTTTCTGTATAACACAATATATGTCATATCTATAAACACTTTGAGTATAAGTTGAACCAAAAAGTAAATGACAACATGCAACTATTGTTTCAATCAGAAAAAGCTGGTCAATTTTCAAATGATTTTGAACAATTTCACTGTTCCGGATTACTTGACAGTAGTTATACTGTTACCGTAAAGCAACTATTTTAAATCCATCCAACACATGAGTAAAGCAGGTTGGGTAGCTTTCTAAAAATATAAATATCCATTTAACTGATAAATATGTCCTGTTAATAATTGCTACTGCCTACAAAGACATATACACAAATAATGCAGAAGTTATTATTTTAAGATCGGGGAATTAATCATAACATTCATCATTGTTTGTTCATTTTTGGTCAGTTCTTTAGTCACTTGATCAGTGATCCTAGTGGGAAATTGCATCTGAAACCAGCAGACACTGTCAAATAATTAACTGCTCTGCATTATTAATCAATACATTTACTGGAACAGCAGGAAAGCTAACAGTTATTCATGAATCTGTAGCCTGTAGTAGTGAGTTAGTGATATCTGGTTGTCATTGTGAATATTGCTGATGTCCTGCAGCATTTCAGCTTGTCTCGCATGTCCTTTGCTTATGTCCTCGCAGACTATCTGTGTCCAGCTCACAAAATTACGTAACCATGGCTGCAACATGTCAACTAGAAGCTCAAGGGAAAATTCAGATATTATAAAAATGAATGTAAATATTCATAGGCCATTTGTCAGACTTTTTTTCATTGTTCACTGTTGCAGCGCATTTAATCCTATTTCCGTAAGGCACAAACCGAGCCATTTCAGATATTAAATACCACTCAAATTAATGATGAATATCAATAAATAAATGCTGATATTGCTGCATTCCTGTACTTGTTTCTCCTACCATAAATATCCAGATTTACTCAAATTAATTTCCATAGCAGTACAGATGGTCTTGCCTTTATTAGTTGTTTTTTGTTTTTAGCTATTGTAAAAACTGATAAAAGTGATTCCATATATGAAACTGCTAAAATTACTAATTGAATTATATTTCTACAAAATAATTTTACAGCAATTCCTACATGTTTGATACTAATGGTGCCAATGTGAACTATTTTAATGAAGTCCATGTAATGTTTGGCACTATTTTTTCTATATTATATTAAGGCAGAGTATGGCTGGTGGGTTATAATATAAAGAGCTCCTTATAAAGGAAATTGAAGTTCTGATTTTATTGACAGTGCACTGCCAGAGACAACTAGCAGCGAGATAGACAGGGGAAGCCGACAATTTACACAACACTCGCTGATTAAATAACATGATTACACATATGTAATATGTACATGTGGCACAAAGCATGCTGCTAATCTGGATGATCAGTAGTACTGATTGATCAGCATCACACTTGCTCCACTCAAGTGGTCAGCCATCCCCAGCGACCCACAAATCCAAGTCAAAGTGCCTCAAGTGGGCGTTGTCACCATGGCTGCTGCACAGCCCCCTGGTCTCCTGGTGTACCTCCCTCCTCTGGCACATCCTTGTCCTGAGCTGCTTTAGGGGTCCAACTCTGAGGGTGATGCGAGGAGGGGCAGGTCTTCACAATACCCATCCGCTTGCAGATCTTGCCAAATACCTACACCTCAAAGTTGCAGCCCTCGTCACTATGCAGCTCCTGTGGCACACCAAAGCAGCAGAACTCCTCCTCAAAGAGCTTCTCGGCTGTGGTCACTGCACTCCAATCAGGGACTGCGTACACTTTTGGGCTACATTAAGATCAAGATTAAGATTAACTTCATTGATCCCAGGGGGAAATTCTGGTGCATACAGCAGCAAGACAGACATAGATATAGTGCAAAATAGGTCTAAAGACTGTACACACAGTGCAAATAAAGTAAACATACTGCAAGCAGATTTAGAAAGAAACAGAAACACAAATAAATGAAATATTGTGAAAATACTAAGATTCAGAAGATACTAAAAATAAATAATTAAAAGTAGGAATGATAATTATGTGAAAAAATTATTATAATAATAATCAATACTTTATTGATCCCCATGGAGAAATTGTCTTTATGCCTCCCTCAACTTGCTCTTTTTTGTAGAGTAAGTTGTCTGTGAAGGGCAGCCACCCATAGCAGCACCCAGGGAGCTGGGGGTTAAGGGTCTTGCTCTAGGACCCACAAACATGCTCCAGCTGGGTTTGAACCAGCAATCTTCTGAATAGAGGTACACAGGCTTAGCCCACTGAGCCACACACTGCCCCACACTATGTGCAGTTAGAACAGAAGGCACCAGAGAGTATTGTAACAGACAGGCTGCTTCCTGAAATGTTATGGCTAAATGTGTTCCAGGATAGCTCCCCCTGAAGCAGATCGGCAGAATTGTTATTAATATTGTGCAATGTTGCTAACATCCACTTCCCTGCTACTGCCTCCAGTGGGTCCAGGGTCAGCCCTGTGATGGAGCTGGCCTTCCTGATGAGCTTGTTCAGGGTCAGTCCTGTGACAGAGCTGGCCTTCCTGATGAGTTTGTTCAGGGTCAGTGTGATGGAGCTGCCCTTCCTAATGAATTTGGTCAGGGTCAGTGCTGTGATGGAGCTACCCTTCCTGATGAGTTAGTTCAGGCATTTTGCATCACCTGTAGTGATGGCACCTTCCCAGCAGGTCACAGTGTAGAAAAGCATGCTCATCATTACAGACTGATAAAACATATACAATGGTGAAATATTCACCAATGGTGAAAGTGATCTTGGGTCCGGCATAGTTCGACCTGTCACCATGGAGTGGCAGATTGGAAACAATGGAGGCAGTGTTCTGTTGAGGATGGCGCAGGACCAAAGGCTTCACGATGGGAAGCTTGTCTGCTAGTGCAGAGGAAAGAGGAGCCACAGGCACACTTTTTCCCAGAAGCCCACACCAGACCTGCCAGCAAATAACCTGTGAGTGACGCGGTGAGGGAGGTGCCACCCTATCCTTCCAAAGTGCCCCGGACTCATGCAGGGCACCCTCATGTCACTCCTATTAGCCTACTGGTCCCCTTCCCAAGATGGTGTGACCATCAGAGGCTGCAGGCTGAGACTGCTCTGCTCGGCCATGAGGAGGCATACCACAGCTGGAAGGCCCATCTGGCTCAGGAGAACTGTGAGCTGGATGAGAGGCATTGTATAATGTTGTTGTATATAATGATGAAACATTAATTCCAGTCATTAACAAAAATACATGACCATATGCCTCATAATAAACATTCAATGAAAAATTTTTGCAGAACAATTTTAATTTAGCAGAAATTAATGTAAGATACACTAATTATTATTGTATCAATGTTTTTCAATGTTGGTAAAAATGTGTGTGTGTGGTGGGGCACCACAAATGATCACATAAGTAACTAAAAACTTAGAAGTGGAGGACTGATTTTAATGTTAAGGGAGTTCAGCTTTCATACACCAGGCTGAAACGTCCCACGTTGATGACTTGAGCATGACGTCAGCGCGCAGCCAGCGCAGGAAACACGTGATTCATGTGCTTTGGTCTTCCGGGAACAAACGTGTCGTGATGTACATGTGCGTTTAATGCGCATCGTTGTAGCGTTCAGTTTAAACGAACTGGGGAAGAACAACTAAAAGCGGAGTTAATCAAAGTGAAAGGAAAAAGATAAGAGTAAGTCTTTATTATAACTACGCGTGTAGTGTATGTATGGCATAGTGCTTAATGAAATGATACGTGGAATAAGTATTTTTGATTAAAAACTGGTTTCACTCAGCATTTGGCTTTTGATATATTTCCACACGTCTGACCACTACTGTTTGTTTAATGTAAATAGGTATTGTTTTATTGTCATCTGCAGTATATATCAGTAAATCATTTAATAACTTTGATTACCTGCAAGGTAGTTAACAGCCCATGTAGATACTATGACCGGTTCAGTTCTTAGAGGTGCTTGTGATGTTAACGAGATTATAAGAAAAGTAATTGGGTAACAGGATATAGCATTATACAACATTAGCCAGCAAATATGTGATTTAATCTGCCATACAAATTTCTGTTAAAAGTGGCCTGCTGATGAATATAATCAGTTCCGTCATCATTTTAAACCGTGAAGTGCAAGATGAAGCAATTTGGTTGTGCAGCACATATGTCTGTATATCTACTGTATCTAGCTACTGTTTCCTTTGGAAAAGTACACCAACCCATAATGTAATTGTTTTCCAGATTGAACAACGTATTTAGCATGGGCAGAAAATTGGATCCCACCAATAAGGTGAAGCGAGGTCCAGGTCGCAAGGCCAGGAAGCAGAAGGGGGCAGAGACAGAGGTCGCAAAGTTTTTAGTAGATGGTATGATTGCACAGGCTCTTTTCTGACATTCATATTACAAATAATGTCTGTAATCATCTATACTTTGTAAGGTTTAACCTGTGTGCCACTGCATATACATGTCCAGCCTACATGTACTCCCACTGTACAGCTTACATATATAAATATGACTTATTACTCACTTTTTTTCAATTCTTTGAACTGTACTGCTGATTGGACACTATTTATGGATGTTTATGATTATTGTTTAAAGTTTTGTCTCTTTAAACTTATGTCTCCTGCAGTTACAGACTTGGAGTTTAGCACTACACATTGTACTGAATATAACTGTATACAACAAATAAAACTTTGATGAATTTATTGTTCATTTATTTCTAATTGAAAAACTGCAAACATTGGGAATGTTTGTGTTCTTTCAGAGGAGAGAGAACCTAAGCGACTGTCCAGCAGAGGCAGAAGACGGTAAGAATTTAACGGGCAATTAGCCAATGGCAAACAACCGGCCGTAATGAAGGTTATGATGGAAAATTAAAGCTGGAAATCACAACATCAAGATAACCTTGGCAGAAAGGATAGCAGTACTTCTCATGCATGAAATGTAATAGTTTGATAAGAAAATACATTGTTTGAGCAATGGTCATACTTTTTATGTAGTGCTTTAAAGAGAGCAAAGGTTTCTCCGAAGCCGAAAGAGACTGTGGAGAAGCATACAGAGAAAGGTATGTGATTCTCTATATTTGTATTCTTTACTTGTTGATAGTAATTTTTCACACATGATTGGTTTGACTGTAGTGGACAGATGGTTAATTGGAGATGCTAGTTACCTACTGCAGTAGCTCAGATAACAGTAATGTCTGTAGATTTTTTCTTATTTCCCCCTCTTAGGGTTTACTGATGAAAACAGCAAGTGGCTGAAACCAGCAAAGAGGAAGCGTTCTCTTGATGACACGGGAGATGACAGTGACACCCAGTGGGAAGAAGTGGAGGAAGAGGAGTCAGGACAGGAAGCTGGAGATGCTTTTGATGAAGCAGAACAAAGTGATGATGATGATGATAAAGAAATGGTTGATGACTATGGAGCTATGGATGACAGCGAGGAAGAAGAAGATGGTAGTGATGGAGAAGAGGTACATATGATGCTTCTGACACCTTATTTCTGATATACTGTTGTTTGTAGTGGTGTTCCAATCGATCGGCAACAGATCATTATCGGCCGATTTCCGTGAGAAAGTATGTGATCGGCGAATTCCGATCATACCTTTCATTGCCGATCACAAAAGCCGATCACCTGTAGCTCATATTGCACAGGCGCATGGCGGCAAATCATCAACAAACATGTCTGCCGTGTGGAACTTTTACACCGCCTGTAAGAGTGATGTAAAGTTTGCATCCTGCAACACATGCAACCACAAAATACCTCGCAGGGAAAGCTCGTTACACAACAAATTTAATACGACATTTAAAGAACAAACACTTGGCGGAGTTTTCAAGGCTCACTGCAGAGAATGAAAAGAAGACACCCGGAGCAGCAACAGTCAGACGGCAGTTAACGCAGCATACACCTGTCAACACTTGTCCGTATGAGCGCGACAGTCAGAAGGCTAAGCAAATAATTGAATTCATTGGGCTGGATGACAAGCCTTTCTCAGTGGTGGAAGACACCGGGTTCCACCGACTGTTCTCTCACTTGGAGCCCTGCTAAGTTTTACCGGGACATAAATATTTGTGGAGAGAGAGCGCTTATTCAGCGCTGCATCCAACATTGTGGACGAACACAGGAATAGACTCATGACTGACAAAGCTGAGATGCTCCTCTTTATTAAAAAGAATCTTCCCACAATGCACATCAACGAGTCATAGGCATTTAGCATTTACATGTTATTTAAGTAGCAAATGGGCTTTTTTATTTTGCATACGAAGCAACAGACTCATTATATAATTTTTTTATTATAAATTATAAGAAAGGTAAACAGTTTTTTTTTCTCTTTGACAATGCACAACAGAGCTTGCTCATGCACAAAACAGTAAGCCATGCTCTCAGGTATTTTTGATTTAGTAACTTGTTTATTTGAATGCAACCTGCATTTGACTTTTTACTTGAGATTATTTGATTTAGGCAATGTTGTGAGATTTATTTGACTTTCTGCACTATTTAGCCTGTTGAGAGCCTTAATGTTTTCAATCTTTTAAAGATTGTGTTATTGCTAGCAGGTAAACTTAAGTAATTTTCGGTTGTCCTTTTGACTGAATAGTTGCTGCATTGTGCCTGCAGGTTTTTTGTATTTTTTGTATAACTAAATAGAAAAATTTACAGTCAATCATTGTGATTGGTATCAGTGATCAGCACTCATTGGTGATCAGTATTGGCAGCAAAAAACCTGATCGGATCATCCCTAGTTGTTTTATGTTCATTTATTGACATTCCTCTTCTCTGCGAAATCCAGCTACTCCCCATTGAGCGTGCTGCAAAGAAGCAGAAGAAACTGGAAGAAGCCATGGAACAGGAGAGCGATGAAGAGCGAGAGGAGAGTGGGAGTGAGGGGGAGGATGAAGATGACACTGTCCAGGCCAACATCGATGAGATGGACAGATTCAAGCTGCCTGGAGCTGAGGAGCGGGAAAAAGAGGGTCAGTGCTGAATCTGCACAGCCTTTGTCTTTATTACAATTCTGTTCCACCTTGTGTCATTAATTTCACTTCAGAGCTTTTTTTGTAATGTACAGCATATTTTACTAGTTTTTGTACCTTGTACACATTCTTTTGTTTTTCTTTCTTGATTTCCTTTTAGAAGCCATGCCCATAGATCTGCAGAGCATCCATCAGCGCATAAAGGACAATGTTGATGTCCTCTCCGACTTTGCAGACAAAAGGGAAGAGGGGAAGGGGAGGGCCGAGTACCTCTCCCTCTTGAAGAAGGACCTGTGCACATATTACAGCTACAATTGGTTTCTTATAGAGAAGCTCCTTGACATTTTCCCGTTGTCTGAGGTAAATGGTACATATTTTGTGTAAAGTAGGGTGACCACCTAATCCATGTCAGGAGGGACACTGAGCTACTTCAGCTTTTACGAACTACTTTAAAGCTGAAAGGGTTCTGTGCTCTGCTAAAATGTTTGGTTAGTTCCTAGATTGAAAGACTCATCCAGCTGTTTCGCATTAACATTACTGACACATATGCATGATTATATGAGACTGACCAATCAGCACACGGCAAGAACCCAGTGCTTAAGTGAAATCCTGCTCCTTTTAATTGAAATGTATGAAATGGTGGTTTACAAATCCTGTTGTAGCTCATAGTGTCCCTCCTGACATGGATTAGGTGGTCACCCTAGTGTAAAGGAATTATTAGTTTCAGACTGTCCTGAAATCCATCAATTAATACTAAAATGTCAGTGTGTAATTAGTGCTAGTGTTTGCTGCACTCATGGGAGTTTTACTTCCATAAAAATGTTCTAAGGCAGGATGAAAAATGATTGATTCAGATACTTAACCAATCAGATTGTAGAGGAGGTTGGTCCAATCAACTAGAGGAGGTGGGACCAACCAACCAGATGTCTTGGTCCCACCCCCTCTAGTTGCTTGGACTCACTTCCTCTACAATCTGATTGTTTATGTCTCCTCATAAGTAATTTTTCAGTGGGGCCCCTGAAACAACAAGCCCGTCCTTGTGTATATGATATGACATAAGGGAGTGCACAGAGAGACATCAGTCTGGGACATACACTAAGTGTGCCCATCTTGAATTTAAGACTGATTTTTTTTTATGGATTATGTGAGTTTTTATAGATGATATTCAACTATATCTGAAAATGATAGTTGTTGTTTCTGTTTCTTTTATGTAGTTGGTTGATTTCCTGGAGGCCAATGAAATCCAGCGACCAGTCACAATTCGGACCAATACCCTCAAGACAAGGAGACGGGATTTGGCTCAGGTAAACAGCAGCTTATTGGGTTTTTTTTTTTTTACATTTCAATAATTTTATGTACGTTATATTATCAAGGCTTTGCTGTTAGTTCTTAAGATATGTTTTTATGTACATTTGTTATTTGCTTCTGGACAGATATATTCTTCCAATGTCCTCTCTTTTATTGGGGGTACTGATGTTGAATGTTTGAGAACATGAAGAATTCTTTTCAGCTTTTCTTTGTTTAAAAACAGGCTCTGATCAACAGAGGTGTGAATTTAGATCCAATAGGGAAGTGGTCTAAGGTGGGCCTGGTCATCTTTGATTCCTCAGTACCTATAGGTCAGTATTTACATTTTTCTTGAAACCTGAAGATGATGCCAGTGTTTATAATTTCTTACCACTTCACAGAGTAGCAGTTCTCGTGATTGTACCTCGACTGTGCTAATCATGACTTCTTGGTCTGTCATAGGTGCCACCCCTGAATACCTTGCTGGTCATTACATGCTACAAGGTGCTTCTAGTTTTTTGCCTGTCATGGCGCTTTCCCCCCAGGAGGGGGAGTCTGTGCTAGACATGAGCTGTGCCCCTGGAGGAAAAACCACATATATGGGTATGTGTCTCACTCTGCAGGAAAATTACTGTAAACAGCTGTGAATGCTGAATGTTTTGCAAAGAATTTCTCAGCTATGACTTGTAGATTTCATCCAATGTGTGCCGTCTGACATTTGAATGGACGCATTGAGCTGCATGTTTTGTGTCCCAGCCCAGCTCATGAGGAACACCGGTATAATCGTGGCAAATGATGCCAATGCAGACAGACTGAAGAGCGTCATGGGAAACCTCCATCGTCTGGGTGTCACCAACACAATCATATGCAACTACGATGGCCGACAGTTCCCTAAGGTACGCGCTCTTTTCTTCAGTAGTTACCAAACTAATATTTGCCTTGTTTTATGTTTATACAATGAATGTCATTTGTATATATATTTTTTCTGATATGGTTAGCTCCTGCTTAGTTAGGTGTTTTGTCATTGGATGGCTGGAAATGTCCCACCCTTATTTTAAAAATAAAATCATATGATTGACAGGTGATGGGTGGGTTCGATCGGGTGCTACTGGATGCTCCCTGCTCTGGCACTGGAGTCATTTCCAAAGATCCAGCTGTGAAGACCAGTAAGGTAACACATAGATCAGACTGTCACTAGTAGGATGATGATGGCAGTGTGCACAGTAATGTGGTTCCTGGATCAGAATGACCCCCACTCATCTCCCCAGGATGAAGCTGATATCCAGCGATCTGCTCACCTGCAGAAAGAACTAATACTGTCCGCCATCGATTCCCTCAATGCGGACTCTCCGTCGGGGGGTTATCTAGTCTACTGTACCTGCTCCATTACGGTAAGTAGTAAGAGTACCTCCCCTCATCCTTTAGTGGTTGGTAGCTCTGTGGGTTAAAACTCTGTAATTGTGATCAGAAGCTTGTGGGTTCAAATCCTATGACTGGCAGAGCTGTGTCACTGATGGACCCTTGAGCAAGGCTTTCAACTCCAATTGCGAGAGGGACCATCTGTCCCCATCCCTATGACCCCCTCTAAGTTTACAGCGTGCGCCCGCATGCTACTGGCATCCCATCCAAGGTACCTTGCCTCATTCTCCGTGGATCTCGAGATGGACGACATTAATAAATTATGCATCTTCTGAAAAAAGATGCAAAGGCATCTTGCATGCTGCTTTTTCTCAGGTTACAACTAGGGTTGTAACTGCACACACAATTTACGGTTCAGTGCAGTTTTTTTTATTACAATTGCAAACAATTAGGTACAGTTGCAATCCAAGTATGTCTGAATTACAAACCTTAAGAGCTTATTTACACATTGTAAAGGCAATAAAAATAAAAAACAGAACTATAATATCATAAGTTATAATTAACTAAATCCTGTCTCAATTGGAACAATCTAAAGCTTTGGCTGTAACTGAACATCTACTTGTGAATTTAGGTTCCACCGATGACAGTAGATACATTCATTAGTAATGTGTACTGAACCAAAAATGATGTACCGGACGGTACACAACAAATACTGTTACAGCCCTTCAGCAGTGTTTGATTCTGACAATTTCACCTCCTTTAGGTTTCATGTTTTTTGATATGATGACAATACAGGAGATTTTATTTTTCATATAATGCTGTGGTGTCTTATTTAACAAGAATTTAATACAAAACCTGTTATCAGCTTGTTTCACACTCTATCTTTGTTTAGCTCACATGTATGATTTCCCCAATGTAACTACATTTCAGAAATTTCTTAATTGTAGTATTCACAAAAGGATAAATTTGTAAAACACTGTTCAAATACTGGTATCTTTCAGTTCTTTGGACACGCACATTCCTTTGGTTGATATGGACATGGATGCCGATAGTAATGAAATTCACTCACGCTGCTTTAGGTGGAGGAGAATGAATGGGTGGTGGATTATGCACTGAAGAAGAGGAACGTGAAGCTGGTGCCCACTGGCCTGGACTTTGGGAAAGAAGGATTCACCAGGTAAAGCAGCAGCAGTCTTTTATATCTTGCTCTGTCTGAGCTCTGGAAGGGATGGATAAAATTATTGGTGTGAGTGGGACACTGTGGCAGAGTCTGACTTGCTCTTTAGACGTGAGCACATAATTTACAGGCCTTTTTCTTTCCTAAGGTTTAAAGAGCGTAGGTTTCATCCTTCCCTCCGTCTTTCACGCCGATTTTACCCTCATTCACACAACATGGATGGTTTCTTTGTGGCAAAACTGAAGAAATTCTCCAACACTATTCCAGTGAAGCCTGTTAACAAAACTGCAGGTAAGACAAGAACTATGCAATTATTTAACAACTTTGGTTCACATAAATGCATATTTAATACATTCCAACATGCATCTAAACATTCCATCTGGTGTGTTGCAGAGGCTGACGACGAGCCCATTGGCACAGAAACGCCTGCCCCCTCAAATGAGACTGCCAGAAAGTCAGCTACAAAGACCAAGGCCAAAAAACAGCCAATAAGCAAGCCCGATACTGAAACGAAAAAGGAGACCAATGAGAGCCCAGCAAAAGGCATGTGGGAAAAACCAACACGTGTCTTGAAGAAGAAAAGAAAAGTGGAAGGAACGACACAGCCTAAAACTGTGGCAGTAGAGGGGAATGCTGCAAAAAGGGAGGGAGTGGGGGAGAAAAAGAAGGGGAGCAAGTTTGAGAAGAAAGATGAACAAAAGAGGAAAAGGCTTATGAAGAAAAACAACAGAATGGGGAAGAATAAATTTAGAAAGCTGCAGAGGGTGTAAAGAGTGTATAGGATGTGTATAGCAGTGGGAAAGCAGGGCTGTACTGCTGCATCTGGGATCACCAGTGAGCCGGTCTCTGCTGGCAGGGTGAAAATCTCGCAGAAAACCACAGGGGCTTCCAATGGCCAGCGGTCACTGCACTGCTGTCTTACGACATTCATCCATGAAAAGTACAATTTCAAAGAGTGATGCCTTTATGGACTTTTTACCACCTCAAGATATTTTATATAAAGATGTGTTTTTGTTGTGTCCTCATGTGTTCCCCCACCTCCACTGGTTCCTGAAGAAAACATTGAATAAAATCATTTTGGGGACACTTTATTTGCAGTGACTGAATGCAGTGTCATCGTTTTTTTTCTGCTTAGTAATTTAGTGATGTGTTGATGTATTACCCAGTTATGACCATTAACATGCTATGTCATTTCAGCTTGAGGGAAATGGTCAAAATAGTCTTTTTTGCATCCAAGTAGAAACGAGAGCATTTTAAACTTGATTACCAGTTTGCCTGGTGTGTAGATGAATAATAAATACGTCCCTTTTAAAAGGATTTGATAGCACCATGACGGAATGAAACCATATCCAGTAAACCCAGCCATACTACCTGGTAGGGCGAGCGCCCGGCGTAGTATGACACGCCCTCCACCGGATTGGCCCCGCCCCCTCCTCGCATATCCGCATTTTCCGTCCTTCCTCCATTGGCTCGCGTGTTCCCTGACCGGAAGTCGTCTTATTTTTGTTATCCAAGATGGCGGCGGGAATGTATTTAGAACACTACTTGGACAGTGAGTTAACATTTGCCTTTTTTTGTAAACAATTCCTATTAATTCTGTCATGGCTGTGCGTTATTTTGCATTTTAATATGTTATAAATAAATTCGTATTATTGTGCTTTGTTTTTCTTGCGTGTGAGTTTGCGAGCCCTTTCTCGGTACCTGCAGCCAGTATAATGAACAATTAGCTAGGTTGTCAAATTATTATATGCATATCTTTAAACTAATAGTAATTTCTTTTCTTCTCATACAACTCTAAGTGAAAATGACAGTTTTAAGTCGTGGTTAAATTTGTTGTGGTATAATTATTGTCTGCTCGCTAAGATATGATCAGTTTTGATTGTGGAATTGGCCGCATTTGTTATTTGTGTTGATTTGTTTTGAAAACACTGTTATATCTTCGTGTATACAGGTATAGAAAATCTGCCATTTGAACTGCAGAGGAATTTCCAGTTAATGAGGGACCTGGACCAGCGGACAGAGGGTAGGGCGATTATCCGAACATCAATTAGATCCATATCATTATATTTTTCTATTTTGTATTATTGGTCCTCTATTTTTTAGGATAACTTCTTGCAGTGTACGGCAAATATATAGCTTCTGTGTCAGCTTAAATGTCCTATGTGATGCTCTCCGTATTGACATATGGTGTCTGGCTATATGGATTTTATTTGGTCTTTTTGCTCTTTCATAGACCTGAAGGAGCAGATTGACTCTATGGCACGTGAGTACACTGCCAATGCGCGGACTCTGTCTTCAGAGCAGAAGGTGTCACTCCTGCGGCAAATCCAACAGTCCTACAGCAAGTGCAAGGAGTTTGGAGATGACAAAGTGCAACTGGCCATGCAGACCTACGAGATGGTCAGCACCACACGTCTTTCACATGGTCTTTTTTTGTGTCCAGTTGTGCTGTAAGCTGATTTGATACAGTCTGTTACAACATGTTAGAACTAGTGCTGGGTACAGATTTTCGGTGCTTTTGTGGTACCGACCGAAGTGCTCCAATACTGAAAATAAAATTTCTTTCGGCGCCAAATTCCGATACCCAAACAGTAAATCTCAGCGCCTGTGTAAAGATCTAAAGACGCTGATGATTAACTGTCTAACACAACCTTACACAATAACATATGCCCAGAGAAAAAACTTGTGACCTAGCCAGCGTGTGTGTGTTGTTTTTGTTTGTCGCGTAGTAAAAAAATGCATAAGAAAACAAAAATATGGTTCCGAATGTTACAGGCATTTTGCGACATTTTTGGAGACAGTGCGACTAAATTTTTATAACCAGGCGCACCGGTCCGTCTTGCAAATATGCCCCAGTTCACACACGCTACACCGTGTGTTTCTCATGCTGAGAAGTAAGGGATAACGCCCACCAAAGTATCTCGTTATATAGAATTAATAGACGTGGCGCGGGTATACGGAGTGGAATTTTCCGCCGAGTTCATAGCTGTCCCGAGTTATACAGAGTTAATAGCCACCTACCAGTCAATCAGAAAAGTGAATTTATTGTTTCTGAGTAAATTCCAAAATAAGTTACTTGTGATACCGCTGCAAGTACGTTATTACATGGATGCGCGCACATCCGGAGGGCAGAAAAAGCGCAAGATCCGATGAACGCAGTAGGCAGGGCTCTAGACTGTCACGCATTGACCGTGTGACACACACTGCATCCCTATCAAGTGTAATTAAACCCCAACTTTTGTTAAAACTTGATAACCCTGGTAAAATACGTAAAAGGCTGTATCCCTTTATGATCGCGATCGATCCCCTAGTAACCAACCAACAAAACAACTTGTTCAAATAAAATATTAGTGCTGTAACGTTTTATGTATTCTTGTTGTTGAAATTGATTTAAAAACATATTGGCATCAAAAAAAGTATTGTTCAGGAACCGGTATAAAATCAATGTATCGTTCTGATACTGGTATGGAAAATATTTGAGCGATGCCCAGCCCTAGTTAGAACATAAAGGAGCCATGCCAAAACGCCGTCTCTTATTTGGGACTTTACATTCATAATTTGGTTTAATGTAAAAAAAACGAATAAAGGGATTAGTTGCTCCAGGTTTAGTTTGTTTCCCTTTTGTGATTATAGTTGTTATGGCTGGTCATGCAGATATCTTACAAATCAAAAACTGTAGCAGGATCCTATGAATGCAGGATAAGTACTTCATTTGAATTTGATTCTTATTTGTAGAATAAGTGAAATACTTAGATATGTCAGCACATTTTGTTAGAAGCTACAGGGTCTTCTTGTGCCATTTTCACTGTGCTGTGTGTTTCTGTATAACAAGGTTGACAAACATATCCGGAGGCTGGACACGGATCTGGCTCGCTTTGAGGCTGATTTGAAGGAGAAACAAATTGAGAGCACTGACTATGACTCCACCTCCAGCAAGGGCAAAAAGAGTGAGTTCAGACAGCTGGTAGATTCATGTTCATTCTGAATGTGTTTTTATATTATGTTGCTATATTGCAGCTCATTTATTTTAATGGCTACATAATAAATTAGAAATGGTTATAGACATAGGAATAGAGCTATTTGTTTAAAGAGAAATACCACCAAAGCCAGTATACACTATGCTGGTGTTGGCAATCTAGAGCTATGGGGTTATCATCAGCTAGAATAGACTGAAATCTGTGCACACATTGCAGAATATCTTTACCGAACTTTACTGCAGATATTTCCTGGATTAAGCTAGAATTCGTGAAACCGATTTAACAAATCTATTTGGGAATTGTATGGCTTTTAATGAGAGCAGAGGTCATCTATATGAATCATACATTTTGTTTCTGTTCATTGTATACAGCTCTAAATATTTAATATCTGACATTATAGGTTTAATACAGAGGCTTTTCAATACAGTCAGTTGGATGTAAGGGTTTGCACATTGTTCTCAGTGTAATTTTGTTGTTATAAATTGGTTAGGTTTTTGCAGCAATGGAAATGTATGGTTAGAAAGAAATTTCCTTCATATTTGGTTATATATATATTATACACACACACACACACACACACACACACACACACATATATATATATATATATATATATATATATATATATATATATATATATGTGTGTGTGTGTGTGTGTATATATATATATTTTTATTTTTTTACACAAAAATGAGAAGTTATGGGCTTGATTCATCTAATACTATTGCCTCTGTTAGGTGAACCAAGGGGCCCCAAAGAGAAGAAAGTGGCTCGAACTCGGTCAAAAGTGAAGAACCCAGAAGAGGATGGAAGCCCAAAGAATGGACAAAAGAAAGTCAAACTTAATCACACGTAGGCTTATTTGCATTAATGTTTATATTCAGGTTTTATTCTGCTTCTGTGTCTTCATAACTGCTCTTCGGCAATTTCCCTTTAATTCTCCTGTGACTTTGCTGTAAATCTTTTTTTGCCTTTAATTTCATTAAAATTTTTACTTGGCCCTGATGGCACATTAGGGCAAGAGAGAGTAAAATAGTTTATTGGGCCTGTACATTGTATTTAAAGGTTTCAACAGCTTACAGCTATCATACATGCCAGCTGTCTAGGACCAATAATGAAAATTGGTTCTCAAGCCTTACTGTTTGCATATGTACTGTAACAGTAAACCACTATAAGGTGATTTCCCTTTGCCTGCCAGGGGGGAGTTCAGTGCACCATCTGTGAATTTTGGGAACGTCCATCCCTCCGATGTGCTGGACATGCCAGTGGATCCAAACGAACCCACATATTGTCTGTGCCACCAGGTCTCCTACGGGGAGATGATTGGCTGCGATAACACAGATGTGAGATCACCTCTGATGGCTGACTTGTGGCCCCCAGTTATTTTTCTTTTTGTGATGCTGTATGCTAGCAGGAATTAATTAACATTTATCTTTCTTTAGTGTTCCATTGAGTGGTTCCACTTTGCTTGTGTGGGATTGACAACTAAGCCAAGAGGCAAATGGTGAGATGATGTTCATGCTTACATTAGTATATATAAAATGTTACATATTGTACACTTACAAAGGATAGTAATGTGCATTTATCACTTTAAAATTTTGTTCTTTTAAAGTTGTAGCAGTTTTATGTTTGTGACAATTGCAATAATATGTGCTGAATTTCATCAGTGAGTGATCTCCAAGTTACTAAAATGCTTTAGTTTTATTATTAGTATTCATAATCAGTATACTGAAGGCTTCCATTTGTCATCTAACTTTTCCTCTTATTTTAGGTACTGTCCACGGTGCTCTCAAGAAAGAAAAAAGAAGTGACTGAGGTAGAAGCACTCATTCAGAGGAGGAGTGGAGAGAGAAAGAGAGGGGAGGAGGGGACAGTGTATGTGCTCCCTCTTCTCACTCAAGTAATGATAGGATCTCCTTTTCCCTCTCTGCAGTATTTGGTGCTTTTTTTTGTTCTCCTAATCCCTGTCTCTGGCACAGGGAAGGAAAGTTGCAGGTGTTACTACAGCTGTATTTTCAGTTTAAGCATTGTTTTCAGTGACTATTTTGTTGACGGTTGTGATTTTTTTTTTTAACTGAGTTAAAAAAACTTAAATATAAACAGCATTAATCCAGCACTTTCCCCTTGACTGGAATGTTTATTATACTGTACTCTATCATATTGTGTTCTGTTATTCCATATTATATTAAACATCTTGTGTACTGCATCAATTCATTTTGGAAGGGGTAATTTTTAATGGCATACTTTATATACTGAAGATTCACAGGGCTAAACTATGTAGTAAGTTATGTTTGTGTGTACTGTAGTTTATTATTACAGGAAAAACTGCAAAACATGGACAGTATTATAACCTGGACTCAGATCTATGTTACTGAACTGTGCTACTCTACCTTTGCTGGCTAGAATGGTTCGTAAATAATGATGTAGTGGCAGAAACTAATGTAAATAACTGATAACTAATTCAGAAATGTACGACTTGTTCGGAATTGTTAAATACAATTACTACATTGTACACGCGCTGTATTTCTCGTTTTCTCATTTGACGCAACAGGAACGCTGTAAATTGTAGCATACAATGAAATGATGAACTTAATTACATACGCGAATTCACTTTGCATAAATGGACAAATTTATTTAGTCGTGGGGTGGATATTTTAAGAGTTTAATTCACCTTGAGTAATTTCTATCTCAAAAGCCACCGCCATTTTGACTTAGTGCGGCCTTGTGACATGCGCGTGGTAAATGGCCTCCGGTTTACGTCCTATCGGAAGCTGCGTGATGACGCATTTCCTTTGGCGCCAATAGGGTAGAATTCAAAACCTCTGCGGCAAACCGTTGCCAGTGTATTTATGCTGGCCGCTGATGTGCTGTGTGGTAATACTTATAATTGCACTGTTTGTAGCTGCCCATATAACACAAATACAGGTAAGTGGTACTTATATGCATGTTTCGATAATTTGAAATATATTGGACATTGTGTACAGATCTTCAGCTAAATGGCGATTTATTCAGTTGGAAAAATAGTGGTAGCTTTTGTTCAGCCGCGTTGTTTGTTGGTAATGACGAAGGCATTTTGTTTTACGCCATTAGCTACATTCCAAGACATTTACTGTTCGGTATCAAATATTTAGTTTTTTGTTGCTCCAAGCTTTTACATTATTGTAAGATATGCCCTGAAGTTTACGTACATTCTTCGCTTGCTAAATTGTTAAATAACAATGAAAAGTGGGTTCGAACAGGCTTGATAACGTGTTTCCCATTAGTCTAAGTCCGCTGTTATCCTGTGTCATTTAGTGAATTGTAAATAAGAATGGAAAGGTTTAAACGAATGTTTTTCCTGCGCTCATTATTGTAGGAGTTGCGGGGGCTGGCTCGAGATTATGGTTCTCTGCTCAATTTCGCTACGTTGATGCGATTGTCGGGACGACATGATTTGCTGTAAAACGATCGTGTCTTCCCCTCATTCTGATAGAGATGTGGGACTTCGCGGTGCCAGTGTGTACGAATGATTTGGTGAAGACCGGCGGTATTAATCAGTATGTGGTTCAGGACGTCCTCTCCCCCAAACAGCTGCATTCCCACTTAAACAGTGAGTACCCCCAGTGCCTGCGTGGACTTCCCCAGTCCACGGATCTCTTTACAAACTAGCCTTTTAGATCAGCCAAGTATTTCCCCTGTATGGTAAGCTTTGTCCATGTCCCAATTCCTCAGTTAAGGGATGGGGATCTCTGATATGTTGGCCTTTACCTGTATGCATCTCAACCTCTCCTTCAGGTTTTAAGGCTGCAATGAGGACCCAGGGTCCACTGTGTATCCTAGAACATTTTGATACTCTATACAGCGTCTTGCAGTAAGTACTGTATGCCTATAAACAGAACATTAAAACACTAGTGATGTTTGAGTTGTATGTAGCTTTCTGTAGGACTGTTGCATGGAGTGTTGCATGCAGTTGACTGTGTCTTTCTCTTTCAGGCACTTCCAGGCAGTAGATTTGGCTGTTAAAGAAGACGCGTTAGAGTTACTCATACAAGGTTAGTCCACAAATGCATTATGCCTGTTCCTTTTGTTTCATGCAATGGTATATCAACATCTCATCTTTTTGACTTTTTTTTTTTTAACCAGTGGTGAGCGGTCTCTCAGTGTCCCTCCCATCCCTCCTCCTCTCTGCCACTCTGTCTGCTGTGGACAGGAAGCAACATCTCAATGTGGTCAAGATGGGTGTGTTCCTGCTCTGCAAGCTTACAGAGTGCCTGGAGAGTGACTCCTACAGACAGAGTATTGTCACTGCACCAAGCAAGGTATTCTGTTCCCTGAAGTGTTTCAAACACTTCACGTTCAGTACCTGCAGTGAATTCCTTAGTGTGTTCTTATCCGTCGTGCCACTTGGCTCACTGGTGGTGCTCTTGGCACTGATGCTTACTTTGTTGTCCAGTGATGAAACCAAGGCGAATGCGAGCTAATTGGTAGGGTATGGGTGCATCAGTCTCCTGATTTGATGGGTAATCTTGGCAGGGTAGTAGAGCTTGGCTTCTCTGCTGTAAGGGCCCACCCATAATAAATGGCTCCTCTCCTCATTTCCCTTATTGGAAATTAAGGATGGGGAGGAGGAGGAGGGAGCCAACAGTGTGTGTGTGTGTGTGTGTGTGTGTGTGTGTGTGTCAGGAGGCAGAGGACACCCTGCCCTCTATATGCCCATTGGCTATGAGCGACATCTTTGGTAATCTGAGGACAACTGTTGGCTTGCGACTCGTTGTGGGTCTTTGATATTAGTTCACCCATTGCGTCTGTTGTATTTACTCCTGTTGCTGACCATATTGGATTTCGGCACCTCCAGGGCAGCAAGAAGGGCCGGGCTGGCAGTGAATCCAAGATGCACTGGGATGCAGAGAGGGAAACGGTACTCCAGGTTCTCATCCAGCTACTACAGCTGGACATCAGGTCTCTGTGGAGCCTGTCTCTGGTGGAGGAAGAGTTTGTCAGGTCAGTCTCAAGATCCAACCTGTTCTTTTTTTGGGGGGGGGGGGGGTGTGTATCTTTGTCCTGCGAATGATTGTTTCCTTTAAAATCCAGACCCATTCCACTGAAATACTATAGATTTAGTAGTTTTTTTTGTATATGTGTATTTTTTGTGTATGTTTTTGTTTTTTTATATAAAAAATACTACTCTTGTATTGTCCATTTTGCTGCTGTAATGCAAATTAATATAGGTCAACTTATCATGACATTTGTCAAGTTGCTAGGTGGTCTGAGTTGGGTTTTGTCTTGTCATCAGTTGTGTGACATGTTGTTGCTACAAACTCCTGGAGAACCCCACCATCAGCCTTGTGAGAAGCAAGGCCAGCCGGGATGCCATCATCCATCTCTTGGGGGTCCTCATCAAGAAGTACAACCACATGCTAGGTGTGCAGCCTGTTACTCTTCCTACTGTTCTCCTTGTGTGAATCATTAAAGGGGAGGGGGGGGGGCTGGTAACTGGTTTCTGACCCAGTGACTGCCATCCTCCAGGTGCCAGTGTGAAGATCATCCAGCTGCTGCAGCACTTTGAGCAGCTGTCCACTGTGTGCGCGCAGGCGGTCTCTGTGTGGAGCACAGAGTATGGTGTCAAGGCTGTCGTCGGGGAGGTTATGAGGTCTGTGTGTTATTGACTCTGCCCTTTCATCTGTCTTGTAACTGCATATCATGAACTGCATCATTGGGGTGGCAGTGTAGGACGCACCCTGGATGAGATGCCGATTTTGCAATGTTTCCCTGAACGTCTCCCTATTTCTTAATATCTGTTCTGCCTTGTTCATGTGGGTCATCCTCCTGCTGCAGGGAGATCAGTCAGAAGCCCTCTGAGGAGCTCAGCAGGGAGGGCTCGGGCGTCAAGGCCTTCTCCTCCTTCCTGTCAGAGCTTAGCACGCTGGTGCCTGAAGCCATGATCCCCAACATCAGTGTGCTCCTCACTCATCTAGATGGAGAGGTGAGGCTGTCCCTGTGCTAGGAGATCTCGGAACTGAGCTCATTTTTTAAAGTGAGCTCTTCTCTGCTTTATTGCCAGTATACCATATTCTCAACAGCATACTTGGGTATCATGTAAGGGTGACAGCAGAGTTGTCCTAATTTAGTCGTTTCAATGGTTTTCCCCCTCCTTCATCCCCTGACCAATGGCAGAGCCCCAGCATGCGTGTGGCTGTGTGTGAGGTGCTCGGAGAAGTGCTGGTGCGGGTGCTCAGTGGTGATGGGCTAGACGACTCGGGACGGGCCGACAGGGACCGTTTCCTGGACACCCTGCAAGAGCACCTGCATGACACGCATTCCCACGTCAGGTCTCGCGTACTGCAGGTCTATGCGCGCATCGTCAACAGCAAGGTGGGTGGGTGGCTAGGCTCGAGCCAGGCTTTCCCTGAGTCATCGGCAGGCCTGCATGCATTCATGGTTACTGCCCTGTCTTTCAGGCTCTACCCCTTACCAGGTACACCGAGGTCATGAGCTTGACAGTGGGTCGGCTGATGGACAAGTCGGTCAACGCGTGCAAGAGCGCCATCCAGCTGCTGGCTGCCTTCATTGCTCATAACCCCTACAGCTGTAAGGTACAAACGATGCTTTGTCAAGTCACATTGTTGTGAAGATAGTTTAGATTTTTTTATTCTTTTTTGGAAACTGGCTTCTCTGAATTTACATGCAGCTGAGCAGCGCTGATCTGAAAAAACCCCTGGAGAAGGAGACTGCTAAACTGGCAGAGCTTCGGCAGAAGGCTGCCACCAAAGTCCCTGGTAAGTGGCCCCCCGCACCCTTCCTGAATCACTATTCCTTTGTTGGTACCAAGGTGAATGCAAGCTTCTTGCCATGGAGTCTCATGTCTCTGCCTCCTTATTGGCATGTAATCTTGGCAGGTCATTGGCGATGTGCTGCTCTGCTCTAAGGACCCACCTACAGTAACCGGGCCCTAGTCCTCCATCCTCCTCAGACCATATGCTGGGTGGGGGTGGGGGGTGGTTATGCAGAAGAAGCTCTTAGCGAGCAGCGTCTTGGATAATCTGAGGACTGTCAGTCTTGATGGCTCCTTCCTGTGGATTTTAGAATTTAGTGATCAGTGGTCATTGTCAACACACCACAGCAAACAGTGCGCAACAACGAAATGTGTCCTCTGCATTTGACCCATATGTGACTTTCGTGACATAGCAGGGGGCAGCTAATTCAGCGCCCGGGGAGCAGTGCTTGGGGACGGTACCTTGCTCAGGGTACCTCAGTGGTGACTTGCTGGTGGGGGATTCGAACCTGCAATCTTTCAATTACAAGTGCGCTACCCTAACCATCAAGCCACCACTGCCCTTTTTTGTGACATGCCTGTCTCGCTGCCTTCTGCAGTGGCCGTCATCAAAGCCTCGGAGCTGTGGGAGGCCATGGAACCTGAGCTGCTGCAGACAGTGCAGGCTGAGCTGGAGGCCTGCGGTCAGGATGGGGAGGAGGACGAGGAAGTGGACTGGAAGGGGGGCATGAAGGAAACCGACCAGGCCACTGCTGTGAGTGTCGCTCAGCTCCTCAGAGACAACAAGTACAGGTGTGTGTGTGGTGTCTGCGTCTACGCTAAGTGTGTGTGCACGCTTATCCCTGCTGGACGGTGCTCTCATGTATGCCATTGTCCCACAGACATGCTGTACGGCTCTGTGTCCAAGCCCACGACACCTTCCCCGATTCTCGGCTCTTCTGTGGCGTCTCCCCGCTTGCTGTGGAGTCAGTTGTTGACACGCTGAGTCTGATCTTCAAAGGTAATGGGATTGCACTTCACCTGCATCTCAGGCTTTCGGCCCACACCACTGGGCCTCTGATGTCCAACAGCGGGTCGTTCCATCCTCTTCGCCGCTAATCTCCCACCTGAGTTTCTTTTTCATTGACATTAGGTCCAGTGCAAGCTCACTCTGATGCCGAGGAGGTGCAGGTCCCCGCTCAGGCGGAAGAGGCAGCAGAGCTGAGCCACAGAGATGAGGTGGAAGAGAGTGTGCTGAAGAAGCAGGAGATGCTGGTTCAGTACCTGAGAGACACGGAGAGCTTTGTCCTCCAGGTGGAGAAGGCCATAGCAGTCATTAACACCATGCTGTACTGGAAGACCACCAGTGGTAGGCCTTCTGATGCTGTTTAAAGGATAACCTATATTTCATGAAAACTGACCCCTTGTGCAGAGCTTTCTGCAGTGTGATGCCTTCTTCTGAGTCTGTCTCTGTGTGTGTGGGTGGCAGTGGTCCAGGAGGCGGTGCAGTTCTGCGTGACGGTGTGTGAGTTCAGCGTGGCTGACTCTCTGTCCGGCGTGCGGAAGATGCTGCCACTGGTGTGGTCCTCAGACCTTGCCGTGAAGGATGCCGTGGTCCAGGCATACAAGAGACTCTACCTCAACCCACAGGGGGACACAACACGGTCAGTGCCCTGCCCGTGATTATGCTTGGCATCAGAGCTGAACTGGTTTGGTAACTGTCTAATTGACGTGGTCCTAAACCCCCCTGCCTTACAGGGCCAAGGCGCAGACTCTGGTGAACAGCCTGTCAGAGCTGATGGTGGATGCCTCACTGGGGACCATCCAGTGCCTGGAGGAGATAGTGAGAGGCCTTTTAAACTACTCTGCTTGGTGCTGTCCCATGATACAGCGCAGTGTGGCGTGATGCTCACTTCCTGTGGCCCGTAGGTGCAGGAGTTCTTCAGCAGTAGCTCCAGCCTGCAGACCAGTGTGGTGCAGCTCCTGTGGGAGAGATTCACTGGGAAGCTGGAGAGCCACAGCCTACAGCGGCGTGCCGCCGTCCTGCTGCTGGGAATGGCCGCACGGTGAGGGGTTCGGGGACACTGCCGTCTCCAGGAAGCTGAAAACCACAGACTGGTCATTACCTAGGCTGTAACTTCTTTCTATGAGTGAAGCAAATATGGTGCCATCTTTGTTAATCTTTGTGCAATGTTAACGTGCTACTCCTGTTTTCATGGGGGGTGTTCAGGGCAGAAAGGGAGGTTGTGCTAAGTAACCTGGATACATTGTGCTCCGTGGCTCTTGGGGAGAAGGTGGCTGAGGACTACCTCCTGGCCAGAGATGCTGTCCTCACCATCTGCAGCATCACTGATCATAACAGGGTAAAGGCCAGCCCTTCTCCTCTTTACCACCCCATCCCTGCTCGCTGACAGCTAACTCAATCTGAATTTCTGCCCCTCAGCCAAATAAAGGTGCCCCCCCGTTCAGGCTGCCCCAAGACCACCAACTCTTCACCTGCCTCACCCAGGCTATAGCTAAAGGTACCTGCTGTCGATCTTGGCCTGTTTCGGTTCTGCGATCCATTTAGCCCTGCTTTGACCCTGAGCGTGTGTTGTTGCCCCAGGCATGTTGCTGACCCACCCCCACTGGCAGACCTTCATGGAGCAGGCCATCCGACTCCTCTACTTCCTGGCTGAGTCCCCTGACCAGCTCTGCTCCCGGCTCCTCCAGCGATGCTCGTGTCTGCTGCTGGATCAGATTGCCGAGGGTGAGGAGGGCAGCAAGGAGGCTGTCCACTCACAGGCTGAGACAGAGCAGGGTAAGTCAATCATTACATGGTGCCATTTTTTTGGCATTAAACAATGTCCTTTTTGGAGTTCTGATGTCTTAAGACACATTTTTAGAATAGAAAACTTGTGCAGTCCATAAAGTTTTTGAATTTTGTCATTTTCGCCATCTGCTGAAGTACCTTAAGTTCTCTACACTGTAAACAATAACAGTATCTAATAATGGTATAATG